CCGAGTCACACTGGTGAGGTTGGTATGGGTAGGTTCGGATAATACTTAATACTGGTATTGATCTGGGCTTCAACGGCTTGAACAGTTGAGCTAGGTCCACTAATTTTGGAAACAAATTTCTGCAAGGAGAAATAAACAAACTATCGTGTATTCAATATCTATACCTCTGTAATGAGGATGGTGATAATGTTTTATCAAAAAGCCTTTATCATGTTTTTTTTTATTTTAAAGCTTGATTTTCACTTTTCTTTTTTTATTCTTTATATTATTATGTTTTTTTTTTCAATTTTATTTAATTAACATTTAACACTTATAATTGGATAATCTCTGTGTCATTTATAAAAATGAGGATGGTGACAATGTTTTGTCAAAAAGCCTAATTTTTACTTTCCATTTTTACCCTTTATCATGTTTTTATTTTAAAGTTTGATTTTCACTTTCCATTTTTACCCTTTGTTATGTTTTTTATTTTTTCAATTTTATTTAATTAACGGTCAACACTTGTAATTGGACAAAGTAAATAAAATAATAATAAGACTATTGTGGAACCTATTCCTCGCCTTATTTGATCTTCTCCCGAAACACCTACCTAGCAAACCTCTTCACTAATTAGAGCCAACACGTGTCAAGTATCGGATGGTTTGCCTAATCCACGAATTTGGATTGAAGGGAGGAATGGATTTTTTCAACCTCTCTCTTTTCATCATGGAACAATCAATTAGATGATTAAATGAAGTTTTTTTTTTTTTTCTGCCTGTTTTTTTTTTTCAATTGTCTCTGTTAATGTAATAGGTTGTATTTGATCAAGAAATACTCTTATCATTATATTGATTCATTTTAGGGTGTTTTTTCTCAATGATCATCGAGCCAATCTGACACCCTACCAACGTAATACCGTAGGGGTTGTACTTGATAGTGTCATAAGGGTTTAGAATACATTTTATTGGTAGGAGATCTGGACTCTTCTATATAAATCGACCAAATATAAATGAATCAGAATCAACCTATATCATTATGATAGCTGTTAGATATACAAATAAAGACCCCAGCATTGACAAGCAGAATGAAAAGAGGCAAGAGGCAAAAGGTCAAATGTCATCATTCACACATGAAGCGAAGACATAAATTCTAAAACTCTAATTCTCTCCTTTAAACCCCTCTCTACACAATGTATTTCTTATCCATTCCCCCTACTTTACACTAGGAATGAGGAAGCAAAAATGGCTTCTCTCTTATCCTACACACATGTCTCCTCAAAATGAAGAAAATAATATAAATTACAAAAAAACAAATAAATACACAAAAAATATAGAAAAACATAAAAGTTGAAGAAAAAAATAAATTACAAAAAAGAATGAAAAACCATAAATTATAAAAAAATGAACAAAAATTGTAGAATAAAATAAAATTTTATATCTACTACAATATAAAAAATGAGAATGATTCAGTTTGTGTGGTCGAAAGACCCTAATTTTTCATACTAATTCTACCCCTTAGTTTTTTGGTTATTCCGACATCCCAATTCTATATGAGGGTGCACGATAGTTGTTGACCAAAAAAAAAGAAATTCGGTGGGTTAGGTACTTAGGTTTGGGTTGAGCTTCAACCCAACCCACTAATGACCCATTTTGGGTTCAACCCAAACCTACCATAACCCAATCCAACCTAACCAACCCATTAATTTTTCACATAATACATAAATTCTAGAAAAATATAACTATAAAAAATACATAATATGCAAATAAAGATATAAATGTAGAAAATAACATAAATTAAAGAAAAAATAAAAATTATAAAAACACAAAAATGAAGAAAATAATATAAATTACAAAGAAATGTGCACAAATTTTACAAAAAACGTAGAAAATCATAAAAATAGATGAAAAATAACAAAAATTACAAAAAACAAAGAAAACCATAAATTACAAAAAAAATAAAAATATAAAAATTTCATTCCATGGGCCCTGGACATGTTTGTCAATTAGGCCCAAGTCTTATAAGGGCATTTGGCCACCAGGACTGTATGTTATCATGTGTGCAGTTGTTAAGTAGAGCCTAAAACTCATGTCCTTAGTCGTATGCAACACTGTGACACATTATGAATTGTTCGATTGTTTTGTTTTTGGACAAATGTGCAGAGGTGCTCAACATGCCTAGAAGGTGTTTGCTTCCAATTAATATCTTTATCTCTTCTTAGTTAAAAAGTAAGAAGAAAATGTTTTTAGGCTTAAGTATAAGCCATTTAATAGTCATTTTAGATAATGACTTTTTCTATTCAATGGTTACTTGTGTAAATTAACATAATAGATTTGTTTACTTATAACCATTAATAGTAATTATTTTTCGTAGGTTTTAGGTTACTTATGTAAATTAACATAATAGCTTTGTTTATTTATAACCATTAATAGTAATTATTTTTCATAGGTTTTAGGTTATTACAAATAGGAGATTGGTTAAGAGTGGCTCTCCTATTCTCCATAAATTTTGTGTTTCATTGGGATGTACTGTATCCAAATATAATGTTGTTGAATATAATTTTATCATTGATTTTGTACATTAATGTTTCAATCAGATGCATTTGCAACCAACATTATATGTATGTTATAAAATTTAGATCTTGACAATCTGTGAGGATAGTCTTTTTTATGGATTATATAATTGTCTTAAAACTTGAACAATATGTAAATTTTCATTTATGTCCGAAATATTAAAGTATAGTCATACATCACCATCGATATCAAATACCTCGTGCATTGCATGGGCCATTCCACTGATCTTACTTTTAAATTCTGGAAATCGATCAGAGGACAATATCGTGCGTGCAACCAAATAAGGCACAAAACTGGAAATTGGCCCGTTCTCATTTACCAGTTCAACCAGCGGTACAAAATAACAAAAATTCTGGGTTCTCCAGTTAACTGAACCAGAAACGGTCCAGTTCTGGTCCAACTGATTGTTGATTGATCAACATGCATGCTAGCTAGGTCTGGTTTGGTTTTGAAAATATTAATATGAAGAAAATTTGCCGGCTTCAGTTTATGGCTTAGTTTTGCATATTTTACACGTACAGCTTAACCCAAAGCTCGTTGAATGCATGACCTGGGCTCAACCCAAAGGTCGTAAAATCAAGGTTTTTAAAATAAGATGTTGGCAGATAAATTAAGACCCGGTCATGGACTCGTGGAGAGAGATAATTAGAAAAATCAAGATTTTAAAACAAGATCTGGAAACGTAGCAAAGTAACAACTTTTTCCCTCCATTCTCGTTTATAGGTGGTTAATTAATTAAGAAGTTTAGTTAAATGAATCAACCCATGACATTATAACAATAAAAAAGATAAAATGCAGAAAAGAACATTGCAAAAAAAATTGAGTATGACTCTGATATTCTTTATTCATTATTAAATAAAAATTAATATTATTAAAAAAGTAAATTTCTATCTAAGTTACTTGGTCATTGACTGAGCTTTTTCTTTATTTCTATTTTTTGCAAATAATTGGTTCATGAGCTAAACAGACCCAACATAATTGGCCTAACAAAAGGTTGGTTGGTCATTGACCAATCCTTTTTTTTTTTTTCAAATGACAGGTTGATGGTCCGACTAGCTGTTTCAACCATGGCTTGAAAGAAATGGGATTTGATCCTCACAAGACCGTATTCACATTGTTTGTATAGTCCCTTATTGCAGCCTTGTATTGGAAATATCTCCCCATGAAAAAAAACATACAAGTGCGAAGATTTTCCTAATGCACAGCTGTAAAGAGCTGTAGAGATGGTATGAGCATGGTCCTGTGAGCACTGAAGCCAATCTCGATTTGAAAACGTGAATAAAACTAAAATCATTTTAAGTGTACAGACCAACCTTAATTAAAACGTTAGTAGCATGTACTACACTAAGACTGTATTTGGAATTCCTTATTTTAAGAATTTATGTCTTTTTGTAATTAAAATCTTAGTACTCAAAAAAATATTTTAACTGCAAAAAAGAGATAAATGCTTAAAATAAGAAATGCCAAATGCAACCTAACACTACTACCGATCCGTTTTTTTAATAATTAACCATCCACAATCCACAATTCCCAAGCAAAATATCAAGACCCATAGCAGCACGCAGGTGGATCATTCTATTAATCATTCCAAGTCTCTCTGAACAATTTGATTGGATAATGAAATTCGTCATGTGTACTTATTGTAGCTTAATTTTCTCTCTGCTTCATCACTAGAGATGGTATATGTTGATAACGTGTATAACTAAACGCCTAAAAAGAAATTAAGAAGAAAAGAAAAGAAAAGTCAAAGCATAACGTGTAGTCAACAAAAAGATTATAAATTCAAAATCTAGAAAAGCCCTAAAACAATCAAAGTGAATTACGGGTTAAATGGTCCAACCAACCGGCCTAATCAACTGTCACTGCCAGTAGAAGTAGATAGAAAGTAATTAGAAAGATCCAAACTTCATGATATTGTCATACAAAACCCTAATATATATACCCAGCTTGAGATGAATATGTAGTCTTTGACCAAGTCAACCAAAGTTGACTTATGTGGTAAAGTTCAAGCTGGGTATATATATGTAGTCCAAACAGTCTTATGTGGTTCAGTGGGTCTAATGGTAACGGTTCAGACCCATGAACTTTACCATTTCAAACCAACATGACCCACGGCCACCCATAGAGAATATAATATGATGCCTCATTTCTAGAGACTTAGGTGACATGGGAAGTGACCAACCAATCTAAAACATAGAATGCTTTTCATGTACAGCTTGCGTCGACAGAACTAACACACAAACGAACATATGTTCTCATACAACACGTCCAAGGTTGGTTAATGTAGATTGCTGGTTAGTACCCACCAAATTAATTAACCAAACTAACAACGTTAGTTGCATCCTCTCTTGACTTTAATTTACACCGCTTCAGAAAAAGTAGTCTTATCTAAAATGCCAAGAAAACTAAGCAAACGCCTTACAAGCTTCTTACTGTTATTTAACGACCGATACAATTCAGTCCTCCCAATCTGTCTCAGAATCCAAAGCACTGCAGAAGAGGGGGAAAATGGCACTTCCCCAGTTTCTGCAATACTTGGTTCTAAGTTTCTTCTTCATTTTAAGCTTCTTTGCTTTTGATCTGCAGGCGACAGATCCTCCTTTAACACTGGACTATTACGCGTCGACATGTCCTACCGTGCTGGAAATTGTGAGGAAGGAGATGGAATGTGCTGTGCAATCGGATCCACGTAATGCAGCATCCATTCTCCGGCTGCATTTTCATGACTGCTTTGTACAGGTTAGTAGTCCAAGGCTTCTGGGTTTCTTCAGTAGTGTTGGTTTCCTGCTGGCTTCTGGGTTTATTCATATTCAGCCCTGTAGATATATACTATACACATACACCATCTGGCTCTGGGTACGTAACATTGACTGAAATCTAGTTAGCTCCATGGACACAGGGCTGTGACGGGTCAATTTTGCTAGATGACACGATAACACTCCAAGGAGAGAAGAAAGCACCCGCCAATGTGAACTCTCTGAGAGGTTTCGAGATTATTGACAGTATCAAGAATAAGCTCGAATCAGAATGCCCTGAAACTGTGTCTTGTGCAGATATGCTTACCATTGCAGCAAGGGATGCTGTTATTCTGGTAAAACTGATCAGAACGTTTACTAAATAATAATAGTATTTAAGTCGATTAGTAATCTTAATTTGGGTTTAATTTCTCGAGAAAGCTCTGTGATGAAATCTTTCATGAAGCTAAGGAGGACGGATTACCGATTAAATATTGGTCATCACTAATGTTTTAGGTTGGTGGGCCTTACTGGGACGTTCCTCTGGGTAGAAAAGATTCAAGAACTGCAAGCTTCAGCCTAGCAACCTCGAACCTGCCCACTCCTGAACAGGGTCTTCTGGGTCTCATATCAAAGTTCCTGTATCAAGGCCTCTCAGTTACAGATATGGTTGCTCTTGTAGGTAATGCCTGAATCGAATAATCTTTTTGCCTGTATCCTAAGAGAATTCTACAAATAAAACAATTAGTGTTGGATGGAGTAATTAATTAATAAAACTAGCTGTTATCTGAAAATTTACAGGTGCACACACCATTGGCATGGCTCGATGCGTGAACTTCCGAGAGAGGATCTATGGAGACTTCCAGGAAACTGCAGGCAGTGATCCGCTCAGCGAGACGTATCTCAGCAGCTTGAAATCTACTTGCCCACCCACTGGGGGAGATGACAACATCACTGCACTGGACTACTTTTCGCCTAACCTTTTCGACAACTCCTTCTACCATCTACTGCTCAAAGGAGAAGGATTACTGAACTCGGACCAGGAATTGTATTCTAGTCTTCTGGGGTTCCAAACCAAGGAGCTTGTTCAGAAATATGCATTAGACTCGGTTGCTTTCTTTCAGCAGTTCTCAGATTCTATGGTGAAGATGGGAAATATTACTGATCCTGAGAACTTCACCACTGGGGAAGTAAGGAAAGATTGCAGATTTATTAACACATGAGCTCCATCATATTTAGTAACAATCTTGCACATTTGACAGTATATATATGCATGGAAATTAAATAAATATGTTTGTATACGAGGGTTGTTATAACAGAAATTCCATCATGTACTACACAGAAGCTATTGATCATTTGCTTGTTCATTTCTTGTTTACTAAAGATGGGGGAAAGGAATCCTCCCTGTTGCATTCTTCATATATATTCATATTATATTCATGTAACTTGAAGTTAATCAAAGTTTGTTCAATTCGAAGATTTCTGAACTAATTCGAACCGAATTTTTTACCCCACCCCCACCCTTTTTAATTTCTTGACACAGGACCTGAAAACGGGTCTGTATATATCAAGAATGGATGGGGACCCACCATTGATCCTGTTAATACTTACTTTGTAATGGTGTTACAGTGAAAGGTAATAACTACAAGGTTATTTTCGGGGCTGGAAAAGTTTGAATCGAATCGGGTATAGGTATATCCAGATTTGAACTTGAATTGGATCTAGTCCATCGGATTTATATAGGGTTCGAATCAAATTCGAATTGAAATAATATATTAAATAGTATAAGTAAATTAAAGTAAAAATGATCAAAATATTATATGCTATTAATAAAATGAACTAAGAATGACTGTCATATTGCATTTGTTGAACTAAAACATAAATTGTTTTTATTGTTGCTGATTCCAAAAACAAATCAAAACAATCTTGTTTGAAAACAGATGGTTTCTTAAAACAAAAACACAAAAAACATATTTTTTGTTTTCAAAACTGAAACCAAAAATATGCTTTTGAATCTGGTTTCAAAAACATGTTTCCATCTGATAAGTAAGCATTATGTTCCATAAATTATATAATTTCTATAATAAAACATTTATTTTTATTTTATAAACCAATATTTTATTGGTTCAAAAAATATGTATTGTTTTTTGAAACAAAATCAATTTTGTTTTTTCCTACAAACAAAAACAGAATTCAAGAACATGCTTTTGTTTTTTTGCTGTAGTGATTCTAAAAACAAACAAAAATAAAAACATTCATGTTATAGAATGCTCCTTTAGTAAAAACACAACATTCAAACTATCTTTTATCAATAGATAGAATATAAATATTTTAACTATATATATATATATATATATATATATATATATAATCAAATTGAATAGGATATCCACATTTGATCCCATTATAAACAGATTAAACTCGGATCACTCTTAATGGAATCAAATTTGAATCCAAGCTTGGATAATCGTATACCATTAATTTGTAGCCCTTCGGTTTCATTCCTTTACTCTCTCTCTCTCTTTCATAGATATACTAGAGAACCATCTATCAATTAAGGGTCGCATTTGCAAGTGGAGTCTATGAAGTTTTTATGTGTGCATTGAAACCTCTTGTGGAGGAATATTTGCTTTATATAGTATTAGTGGAAATTCATGTGATATGCACATGTGCCAGTAAAGATAAAAGGGAAAATTTTCAGTAATGTTATATGATATGATATTATCATCCTAAGTTTTATGACTTACACAGAATAGAGAGAGAGAGGAACAAATGAATTTTGGCACTGAACCGTGGAACCCATTCAAATTTTGTGATGAGAGCACTCTGGTTTTAATAGCCCTCTCTATTATTTTATTGCAAATGAGAGGTGTAAGCATAATCGGTATGACCGAAACGGATGGAGAAATAGAGATAATTTTAAAATGTCTTGGTACGTATCATGGTTTTCAAAATTGGATCGGACTGGATTAGACAGTCGGATAGAAAAAATTGGGAATTGGTCAGATGATCGGTTCTATTTTTCTTTAAAATCGGATTTTTCCCAAAAACCGTTGATTTTGTTCAGTAAATCGTTGACCCAGACAATTAACCATTTGAACCATTCGAACGGTTTGACCATTGTTTATTTTTTTAATTTTTTTATTTTTGTCAGAATGGGACGATCATTCGGTTCGAACGATCGGACTGTTTGACCCGGAAACCAGACCCCTAACCGATTCATTCTCCGGGTAGATTTTAAAAACCTTGATACGTACTGAACTGTCCAGGTCAATCTGACACTTTCGGCTTCAAATTAATACTGGCCTTTTCCTAAATGCAGAAAAAAAAAACTACAGAAAATATGCTGAATCTTAGCTAGGATCAGCAAATTTGGCAACAGCTGAGATCCATTTAGGTATGTGGGCATACTGCAGGTTTATAAATTTGACAACAACTGGCTTGGCTTGATATGGGCCCTTTGGGAGACCAAAGCATATTAAGGCTCTTCCCTGAGCCATGCTGCAATTTATGCTGAAAACATGGGCCTATGGTGACTTAGCCCATGTTTGGGTCAATTCTCATTTTTGTTCATCCTTATCCAAAATGAGATTCTAGAATGGGTAAGAATGAATAGAATGAGAAAATATTGCTTTAGTATGTGAGAGAGAGGGTCCCGAGGGGGGGATAAGCTAGTGACTAGTGAGGAAGGGGACGGAAAATGAAGAGAAAGGTATTGTCCCCACTTGCTAACCTAGAAGATACACATTTTGGAGCCTGTGGTTCCAAAGCAAAGCTGTTATGTATGTGATGTGATAGCGTTTGGCTATGTTCAAGATTTCAAGGCCATGTTTAGTTCGTAGCTTTGGGCCACTTTCTTTTTTTTAAAAAAAGAAAAATTCTTACTTATTATGGGTAAGAATGAATAAAACATTAGAGAATTTGGTTATAAATTTCTTGTCATGGGTCTTATTCTTTTCCGAGTGAAAAATCAGCCCAGCACAAAAAACGAAAATCTCCAGCATGAAAAGTAATCATGCCCTATCTTGTTCATTTTCATTCTTTAAAGAAACTATATGCTATTGGTCTGGCTTAGGTCTACAATACCACCACCACAAATGTTTATTGACGGACTCCTGTGGAAACTTATGCCAACAAGCATCGACAACGATTTTGGAGATCTAGGCTACCTGTTTATGACTGCTAAAACAGTTTTTATTAATAAAAATGAGCAACATAGGGGCACTTGCCAGTTGTAAAAAAAAATCATTTTTTAAGGGAAAAAAGTGTTTGTTGGTTCATAGTGATTTTTCTCATTCGACCCATTTTTACCCGTTCTTGTCTATTTTAAGGGGCTTTCTTTCTTTGGATTTTGAGAGGGGGAAAAGTTAATGGGATTTTGATTCCTATTAAAAGAAACCCATGTTCTTTTATTAGCTTTATGTGGGGATTAGGGAAAGTTTATTTTACTGGGTACCACTTACCCGGATAAGTGATACTCATCTCCTAAGTGAGTAAATAATTTTTCCACCTTAGAAAAAGTTTCCAACACTTAAATAGGACAAAAATACCCCTTTTAATAATGAATTTTTATGGATAAAATGGTCATTGCTTTATTTACATGAGAAATAAAAGAACATAGATAAATAAACCAGGAAATACTTAAGTACTTTTATCCAAGTAACTTACTCAAAAGCAAATGGAGCGTTAGAATTTAATATTGGATAAGAATGAAAAGAAATGAAAGTCAAATTATCGTGAGCCATGACGAGAGATTTGCATCAATGTGATGGAACACGTTTAGGTGGAGGGGCTGTGAATCACTAATCTGCTTTTCTTTTCTATGATGACAGAAGAAGAACGCTCGATCCCATCTAAAAATCCATCGTGGTTACATGGCATGGCGGGATGTTCATGACTTAAAATAAAATTCATTTGGCTTAGGCCCAATCCACTCTCAACCTAACACGTTGACATCTTGTCAAAAAAGTAGTTATAAGTTATAACTTATAAATCCTTCTATTATTATCCTATTTTCCATTCATTTGCTTTTTCAAAATTAACTAAAAAATTAGATAGCTGAAACATAACCATCTTTTAATGATATACCTTGTCATAACCTCTAGATAAAAGATGTAACGAATTGATCTTGCACCTTTGGGGTGGAGTTAGGTGTATTTGACGGGTTAATTGGAAAGCTATTTTCCTTCGGTATTGCTTACCTTTTTCTTCCAAATAGATAAATAACTTTTCCACTTATGTGGAGAATTGCTAACACATAATGGAATAATATTGTCCTTTTTAATTTTATTTTTTTAAGGATAAAATGGGCATTATCTCACTTACCTGAAAAAAAATAAGAACACAAGTACCTACACTTACCCGGATAAGTGTATTTACCTGGGTAAATGGCCAAAAGAAAAATGAAGGGGCCTTAAGACGTTTCAGCCAACTTTTCCGTATTGATCCCAATAAAGTTAAATGAAAATATATATAAGAATGTGTGAGTCAATTTAGGCATTTTATTTGAACTTTAGACTTATTGACTTTTAGATTACATATGTTTGGTAGACTTGGGATCTCCTGCTTATGAGAACTCTACCCACAACACACTACCTCCATGTATTGGGAACATCTCTCCATGCATAATACTATGTAGAAGGATGAGATGTTCCCCATGTGTGGCTGCGATGTTATGTGGATAGACGTGGACAAAGTTCTTTTGGGCAGGATATCTGGACTCTATTTGGTAGGGCTTCTGCAGTGATACTAAAAAGCTACCTACAAAGTTGATTTTTGGGCCCATGTAAGCTTAATTTTGGCTTTTCCTAATTTTTATTGAATTTGACTTCATGACTTTCTAGGTTTCTTGAAAATGTATTAAAAAAAAGATGTATGAGGCTTAATTAAAATTGTGTTTGGTACAATTGTCACTTGTACTTGCAACGTTTTAGTTGGTTAATACAAATTTTTGAAAAATTGTCTTGTCACATCATACCAAATAACCAATTCTACTAAAAAGTATAGACATTTTAATTGGGTGTTGGTATTTATAATAGAACCATCAAATTTGAAACAACAATGGTACCAAATATTGAATTGATAATTCAAATAATTTATGGTAGAAAAAACTATATTCTCATAAAATTTTTTTTTTGAACCAACCTAAAATGTTGCAAATAGAAATGGCAAATTGACAATGATACCAAAACAACTTTAAGTTATCATATGACCCCACTATAAAACACTCTTGACTACTAGGGTTATTGAGCGACCATTAGAGCTACTAGCTAGGTCATTAGCACCACATAAGGTGCATTTGATTATGTGGCAAGTTTGTGATCTTTAACTTTGAACATGGGACTAGACAAAACACACACTAGAGATAGAATTTAAAAGCTATTAGCAAATAAAGTAATGCAATTCGAATCTACCACCAACACAGCTTTCAACATGATTTATAATTGTAAATCTCAAACATACTTCATAATCATATGT